TACATGCATCCATCAATAAGAGAGAGAGGGGAGAGGAGGTAATGATGGTAATGAATATCAAGCTCGTTACGTGTTCGGATTCATCATTTTTTGGGTAAGGATGGGGTGGTGGTGGTGGTGATGGCGGTGGTGAATTGGGAATTTGGAGATTGGAGAATGGAGATGGGAGGTACAGATCAGAACGTACCGAGTTATCCTGGTAGAGGAATGGAACCACCTCGGGGGCTGGGACGGGGGACCTGGGCCTCGACGAGGAGGGGGAGACGTCCCTGGTCTGATCCGTCGAGGTGGCATTGGAAGGCTTGCGGTCGCGCTGCGACTGGTGGCTGTAGGAGCGTGAGCAGCGGTCCCTGCCGCCGGTAAATGACGTGGCCAGGCTGTTATCCGAGCTGTCACGTCCAGGGAACTCCTCGCCAAAGAAGCCCTGGAGCTTGCGCAGGCCACCGCGGTTCATGCTCGCCTTTGAGCCCTGGCTGCTGACGGTGGCGATGCTGACCAGCGAGGGGCGGCGGTCGTCGTGGTCGCCGAAGGCCAACAACGACTCGGGCGAATCCCTGTAGCCATCGTAGCTGTTGCTGCTGTTGTTGTTGCTGTTGCTGTTGTTGTTGTTGTTGTTGTTGTTGTTGTTGTTGTTGCTGCTGCTGCTGTTGTTGTTGTTGTTGCTGTCATCATGATCGGTGTGGGAGGAGGCAGCAGGAGCGGCAGCAGCAGCAGGCTGGTGGCGGGGGGAGGCCTGCGAAGGAGTCGATTGCGTGTCGCTCGAGTCGTCGTAGAAGCTGGCGCCGGTCTGCTGGGCGGGAGTGGAGGGGCGACTGCTGCCACCGCCCGGTACCATCCAAGGAGCCATCTGAGATGGCAATACATCGGAAGGAGGGGGATGACGCCGGTCATCATCTCGGCCACGGCGGCGGTGCGACGGCGAGCGGCCTTGCCGCTGTTCCGACGACGGGCTATGCATGAGGGGCAGCGCAGAGTCTGGGTGGGATGGTCTGCAAAGCCGTGATTAGCTCTTGTCGAGACAAGCTCTGGAGAGAGGGAGAGGCGGGGAGGGGGTGTGAGTCTCGGAGGGAGAGACGAGCGTGATAGGTGCGGCGGGCGGGGGGAGAGGGAGCTGTGCGTGTCTCACCCCTTCTCGTTTATGATAGATTGTTCTTCCTGGTGGTGGTGGTGGTCGTCGTCGTCGACATGGTCACCACCGGTATGACGATCGAGACGGAGATGTGTCGGAGAGGAGTGCTCGGGACCACCGCGGCGCGACGAGGAATTGGCTGAAGACGATGACGTAAATGGTCTCGCAGCGGCAGAGGAATGGGCGCCGTCTATGTCTGTCGTGGTGAAGATGCTCGTGTTGGTGCTCATGCGCTTGCTGGCGGCTGCGTCATTCTTGGACATTGTCACCGGGCGGGCGTGTGGAACAGGTTAGGGCCATCAGGGGAGGATAACGGGTGCGATGGAAGGTGCTATGCTGTGCAGTGCTGTGCAGTGCAGCAGTGCAGCAGTGCAGCAGTGCAGTAGCGCAGTGCAGTGTAGCGCAGTGCAGTGTAGCGCAGTGCAGTGTAGCGCAGTGCAGCGCAGCGCAGTGCAGCGCAGTGCAGTGGATATTGTTGCCTTGCAGTTGTTTCAGCGTATGAGCAGCAGCAGTAATAGATGGAATAGCTGTTCGCGTCGTCGTCGTCGTCGTCGTCGTTGCCGTGTGCACCGTCGTCCTCGCGACCATAAAAAAGGCCAAGAAGGGCAGGTTGATGACGAGAGAGAGAGAGAGAGAGAGAGAGGGAGAGAGGACGGATCAGATGGAAAAGCAGACAAAGACAAGAGAGCCGGTATAAGCACGCAGCAGTAGCAGTCAGCCGACAATTAGCTCAAGTTGGTGATGTAAGGTTATTCAGAGTTGCGTAAAAGAGGGGTTTGCCTGTATCGCCGGGGGGGGGGGGG